CTTCCTTAAAGACCTTGTCAGAAAGAAGATACTTATCTCAGGATAAGATACTTCTCATGCCCTTATATATTTGCCGTGTCGCAAGATGTCATGCTGGCATCAAGTGGAGCCAAGCTCTACAATCCTTTATGTGACAGTAAGCTTTCCGCCTGGAGAGGAAACTGAACACAAGTGGGCAACTTTCAAGCAAAAGTTTTCAGTTGAAGATCCGTTTGCGTTTTCGTGCGTGTTCTGCTCTTTTCATTGAAGCTGTCTTCAGGTGAGAGATGTATAGATTCTCTTCAAGTTGCAGATGTAGCTCAATACTTCGCTAATTCGACCGAGAGCAATAACAGGCTAGTTGAATGCCGACTCCACGGCCATGCAGCTGTACGTGTTTTAAATTTGTGCCTGGTTGAAACACTGAATGTTACACATCCAGGTGCCTGTCTGTTTCACGTATCACTTGCATGTATCCATGCCTGTTGCTCAAGGTTCTAGTGCAGTGGACTACAGCTGTGCGCCTGTAGCAAAAGAGACACCTGAGTGCCTGTGTTCCTGTACGCCTAGCGAGGGGATACACGTCCAGGTTACATCTCAGGGGTAGTGGGAGGAGGGGGGGGAGGGGGGTACGGGGTGGGGGAGGGGAGGGGGGGAGAAGGGGAGGCGACAAATCATGTAAAATGAGGGAAGGGAGGCCTGGGAGGGGGGGGGGAGGCCGACAAATCAGGTAAAATGAGGGGAAGCCGGGCAAGGGGGTGGCAAACGAACGCAAAAACAGGGTGTCACCAATCATTTCGGCTGCAGGGAGGAGGATTAGGTGGAGGGTACCTGAGGTAACCACCAAAACGCCTGGGCCTCTGGCCTCGGCGGATTAAGTCTCGTTTTGCAGAGCCAGGTTCGATCGGAAGGTCACGGTGCCGCTGCCTGACGTCAAGGGCCGCTTCCAGATCCTGAGGCAAACCGGTTTGCTTCCAGATACCCTCCTTCTCTCTGTCGTCGATGGCCGAATAAGAAAAAGAGCTCGGAGAGAGCTCTGAGCTCTCCCTCTCTGTGTCTCTGTGTCTCTGCGTCTGCGTCTGCTGTCTGCTCTTGTTCTCTGCGCTCTGCGCTCTCTGAGAGCCCCCCCGCGTTTCTGAGGATGCACGCGAAGCGCCTGGTGCTCGAGAGACCGGGAAACCAGCGACTCAGCCCGGGAGCTCGGAGAGGGGACGGGGACACGGGCTCGCGGTTGAGACGGGGAGACGGTCGGGCGGTCGGGGTTTTGCACCGGTTTTTGCAGGAAAGGCGCCCCAGGCATCCTTGCTCTCTGCAGCAGCGTAGCAAGCGTAGCTTGAGCAGAAGGCTTCGCAGTGCTGGGGTGGTCCACTGTGCCGCCGGGTCATGGACCAACAGCTAACAAGCCTCGCAAAGTTGAGTTTTACATCCACCGAAATCCCCCGAAATCCCAATCCCCAGCCGGCCCAGCTGGAGCGGATGTTGCCTCCGCCTCGCCAGCCGGTGGCCCAAGCTCTGTTTGGCTTCGGCCCCGATCCTTTCATCTAAGGCCTAGGGGCCCAGGCCGGAGCCCAGGATGACAAGGCCCCCTTTCAGAACCGCCCCAGCCCCTAGCTATGTTGGTGTTCTGCTACGAAGCTGGGGTTCAGACGCTGCCTTGTTCACACATCTGCTTCCTTTAGGGCCAAGTGAGGCGCCGACCTGACGGTCAGCAGCAGCAAGCAAGTGCAAGCAAGTGCAAGCCATGAGTCAAGTCGTTGTTACAAAGCACCAATCGATGCAGTCCACCGCCACGGTCACCGCCAGCATCAGCAGCAGCAAGACATCGCTGTAACGTGGCATACGCAGAAACATGACGAAGCCCAGAGCCTCCTCGTTTTCAGGATTGGATGGCCTGGGCCAAACGGACGACCGGCTTCTCTGGTGCCGACTTGGCCGGTCTGGTCAACGAGGCCACGGTCGCTTCGTGCAAAATGTTCACGGGAAAGGGTCGGTCAGTTCGGGGCTTCGAGGGTTCCGGGTCACGAACGCCGAACTCCCAAGCTGCGACTTGAGGCGGCCATGGCTGCAGCTCGTGAAGGCCCCGTGCTTGGCCGCCAGTGATAGCAACAAAAGCGTAGTGAAGGCAATCAAAAGTGACCCATAGTGCCGCTGGATGCTGATTGTAGTGATCGTACTTAATGGTGCAGTGCTGCTCTGCTGTGGTGCAGTGCTGCTCTGCTACGACCGGAAACCCATTTTACAATCACCACACTCAGGAGCTTTTCAGCTAAATGAGCCTCGCAGGTGCAGCCGGCGTTGGGGAGAGGCACCTCCAGGCATGCTCAAGTCCCTGAGTCGTGTGTCCTGAAGCCCTTCTCCGAATCCGAATCATCGAAGCCAAAGCTGAGCCAAAGCTGAGCCAAAGCGCCAAAGCTCATTAGGAGGCCGAGCCCGGAGGCTAAGCGCGTCAAAGAGAGGTCAAGGGCATCTTCAACGATGAAAAACGCGGGTTCAGGATGGTCTCCTTCTTCCCCTGCCTCTGTGGACTTGACGTCTTCCAAAGAAGAGCCTTAAAAATTCTGGACCACGAGCCCGTTCCACGCCTGGGAGCCTTGCCCCGGCCTCGGCATGAGGTGGCCTACAGCAAGCTGCTCATAGGCCTCCCTTCTGGGCTGCGGCCCCGGATTCAACGTCGAGTCGGGGATGAAGGAGGAAGAGTCGGGACTTGAGCACATTGACATGAGGGCTCCAGCTTCGGCGGTCTGTCAGTGTTGATCTGCCGAAGTCCCTCAGATGCCAAGCAGGTCTTCGATCATACTTGATTCTTTGAAGAGACGGAGGTAGGGGGGCACCAGAGCCCAACATACCGATTTTGTCCCAATGGCTTCCCACATCTTCTTTGCCAAAAATCAACCATGTCCTGCACATTAGTCACTCACGCGACTCGTAAGCATCAGGGATGAACTTCAGGCGTCATCAGTCTGCGGCAGAGATGAACCTCACGGCGTTTCACGAGGCCTCGATGCTTGCTGCCACTTGCAGTCGTGCGACCATGGTAGCGTTCACGCTTGTACGACCAAGACTCTGTTTGCACAGGCAGGTCATGCCGTGGTGAACGAGGCCTGCGATGCGGCTGTTCATGCCAGGGAACGCTGGGCTTGGCTTGATTGATGCAAAACACGGTTGGATGCTGTTGGCAGCGTTTGCTCAAGCCCTGTTCTCGCCCTGTGCAGTGCACTTAGAAGTGACATGGCCATGCTCAGCCTTGCCTTGATGCTGCTGGCCGCTGGCGCCCAGGCGGAGGCCCCTAAGAACGTCACCTCTCCTGAAAACGTGACAGCCTTGGGCAACTTGGTCCATTGCCCTTGCGGCATGAAGTGCCAGAAGAGAATGGGAAAATGGTACGACTTCGAAGTTGGCCGGTCGTGCGGGTGCGAGACCTGCTCCCATGGCAATCTGCGTGGAGCTACCACGGCCCCTCAGCAGGAAGAAAAAGCTGAAGATGCGGAGGAGCTGGATTGGGACAGTGCCCTGCTGCCAGTTAGCAACCTCCTCTACTGCAGGTGCGGCCGAAACGCATGGGGATGCAAAATCTGCGACCCACCGTGCCGGAGAGGATGCAGAGAGTGCATTGACTGGGTTCAGGGTCCCATTGGCTCCGGCTGGTGGTGCATTGAGGAGCGTTGCATACCTGGTTGCAACTAATTAGCCAATTAATTGGATTTCGGAGTGCGTCTGCTTCTGCGAGGCTGTGGATAGCTCAGCTCACCCCTCCGACTCGAGGGGTTTGCTTGTATAGGACGTTGGATGGCACTCGTCTCTCTCTCTGAGTGGTACAGTGGCACCTTCACTCACGTCATGCTTCCGATAACGGGCTCGTGTAAGTCTGCAGACACTTACTACTTGCGACGCTTGACATGGACACCGCCTTTTTTCCCCGATTGGGAAAAGGCGCGACCAGGAGCAGGCACCCGGCGTTGTCACAAAAAGGCTGCCAACCTGGGTGGATTGAAGAGCAGGGTCTGTAGTCCATGCTGCCATTGGCAGGGCTGCGGCCTTCAGGATTCTGAAGCGCAATCGGATGCGCAAAGTAACAGTAAAATTACAATTCTACTAGGGAATCCGCAAAGTTCCGAAGCGGTAAGACAAAATCTCCTGCACGAGGGCTCGGTGTAGGTGCTGCCGTTTTCTGGCTCTGGCTGGTTGCAGAAGCTCACGGGCTTGAATGCTTGAAGTACCCTCAAGCTCGACCCTAGCCCTCACTTTGCATGTGACCCTTCCCCTTGTTTTTCCCTGCCTCTCGGCCTGTCTGTCGCTGTCTGTCTGTGTCTCTGTTGCGCTGCTGCGCGCTGGTCAGCAGGTGATGCGGGTTTCGCTGGGAGAGCAAGGCCCGACAGCCGCTTTCGTGGCTCTTGAGCCAAGCTGCAGATGTAGCGTTCTGAGGTTTTGGAGTTTTAGGTTTAGGGTCAAGGGTTACGGTTTGGGTTGGTTGGGTCTGATCGGGTTGCAGAGGTGGAGGCTATGGGTCTTCAGGTGGGCGTTTTGGGGGCTTGAGAGGTGTAGGTGTTGGGTTCGTACATAGAGACGGTGGTTGGGCTGGGCAACCAGTCTTGGTCCTGGGTTTGCTCCCAAGAAGACTCGTAAGACCGCTGACCCTTCCATGCGAAGGCCGTGAAGAGTCCTGTCGTATACTATACTGTGAGTCTTGTGAGTCCATGGTGTTATGGTGGTGAAGCAGAGCTGTCGGCCCCCGCGGTAGGAACTAGTTGAGAAAATTGATCTTGGGGTGTTCGGGACCTGTTTTAGTTGAGGCGTTCCAGGGCATCCACTGCCAGGTGTGACTGGCTTCCGGACAGTGGCCCACGTGAGCATCGTACCTGCAGGTGCAACGGTGCAGCAGAACCAATGCTAATCACCGCACCAGTCGCACTATTGCAGTATCACTCGCCGGCATCAATGCAAAGTCGCACAACATACACAGGGTCCGTTTCAGCGGCTGGAAGGTTTCGGGGTTCAGGAAGAGATGCAGACCTCATGCTCGGAACGCCCCCCGGAACCTCAACACAGCAAGTACTAGAAGGCACTTAAAATTCCATGTCCATGTTACTTTGAAGGCTGTCGGAGACACCCTGAAGAAAGCAAACAAGAACCCGTGCAAAAGGCCTTTTCTTAACCGATGTAATGCATTGGTAGGCTATTTCGGGGGAGGGGGGGTTCTGTGTTTTGAAGCCCTGATCAAGCCTATGAATCGTAGGATCCATGGAGCACCGCTTGTAAGATGTTGAGGATCAAACTGTTGGTTAAATCACCATGAAGCCCGAAAGCTAGAAGTGTCAAAGCCTCCCTTCGATTCGTCGTAGAAATCCGCAAAATCCCTGCATTCAGGGCAGACCGGCGGCGTGACTCAGTTCGCCGATCCCGAAGAGGCCATCTCCATCTCTTTTTTGTAGCTTTCTGAATCTGGGGGTTTAGGGGTTTAGGCTTACACCCATTAGGACCATTAGGATTCTTGAGATTTTTGGGGCTTGGGGTTTAGGGTTCAGGGGCAGGGGTGTATTGATATGCTCAAAGGTTTGTAGTTGTTGAGAGACGGGCTTACCTACGTTGCTGTCTGACCATTTGTATAAGTTCTGCAATTTGAGCCGGAGTAATTCCGAACACCAGCATTAACAGGGCTTCTCGATAAGTATAGCAAAGTATATTCCAAACCCTACTCTGGTTATGTAGGTCCACACTATGCAGTCTATACAGAGGATGACAAGCCGAGGCCCAAAAAGCACGACAATTAAAGGTTTGATAGGGCTTAGTTGAAGTCAGGACCGCTCACGAGTGGAAAGACTCCACTTTGGCGATGACAAGCTCACTGCCAAGTTGGCATAGAAAGCCAGAAGGGAGTAGAATCGGAAACTTGTGTGGCGAAACACAGGTTCCCAGGCTCTGTCAGTTTAAGGCCTGGGGCTGAGGCTTTTCCGAAACTGACAGGTTCTGTGTCACAAGGTATCCCTGCTACAGATAATTAGTGCTTAGAAGCCTCCTGTGTAGCTGTAGCGTTGTCCTCTCTGCATCGACGCCTTCTGTTGAGACCAGCCGCCTTCCCCACTCCCGGCGGATTCTCCTGGCTATGCTGGCGGTCGACATGGGTGGGCGCGCGGCGGAGGAGACAGAGCAAGCTTTCGAGGGTTTTAGCCGTCCGTTCGATATTGGCTCCTAGGGCTTCTGAAGCTGCACAGTTCAAAGGGGCCGAGACTTCTTGCATTTTTTCTGGGTCTTTGGGAGGATTTGGGTATTTTGGATTGCTGATACGATTGAGAAGTCCGTTCTTTTTTGTGTAGCTCCTTCAGCTGCAGTCGGAGGACATGCGAGTTTTGTCTCCCCAGTGAGTTGTGTGCTTGCACGTTCCGTTGACACTTCCTCCATTGCAAAGCCCAGAAGCCGATATCCTGCGTTAGCGCAAGCCACCAAGTAGGCTTGGTCTAGCCCTCTTCGACGATGGCAGGAGCTGCTGCTTGGCAAGGGCCAGGTGTGCCCGAGACGCTTCGATTTGACCAAGCCCTTTGCGGAAAGGTTCTAAGGGGTTCTGCTGGGGAGCTAAAGGCTGTATTCAGCGGTTTCCGAGCGCTTCATATTGCGTAAGTTATGAAGACTATGCTCTTGAACGCAAGCTGTTTCTGCCCATCTCAGGGTTTTGAATCCAAAGAGCGTCAGGCGACGATGGGTGCAGAAGCTGACATCGACGATGTGGGAAGCTCGGCGGGGCGGGGCCGGGCCCCACTTGAAAAGCAGCGAGCAGTTCTGAGACCCAGTTAGTACCACTTGTGGCCAACATGGTGCTGTATCATTCCATATGGTTCACATGATGTTTTTCGTTCGTCCCCGACCCGGCTTTATCTTCCAATCTCTTGCTTCAATGTGTTTTCAACTCCCGTTGTCGTAGCTGGTTCACAGATCGTGTGCACTGCGAGGGTGTTAGATCCCAGGAGCCTGCTTTAGGTAGATGCAAGACCATGCTATCGTGTCTCTGCTGCTCATATCGAGTCTGCTGGTGAGCCCGGGCCACGTGGACGCTATGTTTCGGAATCCCCAGCAGCGGGGGAGCCCTCCACCGGCCCTAGGCCACTCGCTTGGCGACGGAGATGGTGGCGTCCGGTGGACTTTCCAAGGCCGCTCCCACTCAGGAAGGGACTCTTCGGAGCTCCGAGAAGTCTGAAAAGCTTCCTTCCACGTGGGGATCACCGGGATTGCAGCTTTTACTCGGCTTTGGGGTTGCCTCAGAGAGCTGTTCGGCGGCGGATGTAGGCTCAGCCAGTTGTGCAAGCATCCTGTGAAGATTTCAATGTCTCGCTTTCGGAAGTACTGGTACCTGAGCCCCGCCCTGAACCCGCAAGAGCAAACAATACGGCAACCGTTGTGTCCAGTTGGGACCAGCATGCCGATCTCTGAAAGTCATTTTAATCCTGACCCGCCGGCGTCCTCGCATGCTGCTTGCTGTGCTGAGGTCTGCAGGTTTCAGCTTAGGGTTTCAGCTTCGGCCGCCTGGCCTTCGGCCATGTCTGAGATTTGTCTTAAGGCCTACAAACTTAGCCTCAGACATGCATACACACATATGTTCAGACAGGGTTAATCAAAAGATTGCAGGCACAGTTGCAGCACATGGACCAGCATACGAAAAGACGGACTTGTGTGGTGGGTGGGGGGGCCAGAGAGTCCCTACGCTGCCTCCAAAAGCACCTTGGCCCAGGCCGTGGGGCCGAGATCACTTCGTTCAGGAACTCAGCCCTCCCAGGCCTCAGGGACAGGGCAGACAGGCAGGGGAGTTGAGGGCTTCAGGGCTCGGAGCTTCTTGGGGTTATCTGCAGGTCTTTGCAAAGACTCAGGAACATCCCACTGCAAGCTGACGTTGGAGTAGGACTTCCATTTGCAGACAACCCGCAAACCACCTCCTAGCCTGAACTACGTGCAACCCCTGCCCCGAACTGGAATGTGTGTTCAGAGACTTCGTGTGGAGGCTCTCCTGTCTGAAGTGGATGCAGAGGCCCAGGGCGGGTTGAAGAGGTTTCGGGTTTGGATTGATTGCCTAGCATGTGCCTGCAGTCGCTGGTGTCTTCGTGATTCGTGCTTGCCTTTGCTCAGCCCGTCACCCAGCTATGGAGCCCTGGAAGCTTTCGGTGCCGTAGGTCAAGGAGCTCCTTGACAAGGCAGGATCCCTTGAGCCCAAGCTCTGCAATTGGAGGGTTCGCCTTCGGGGCGGACCAGGGGACAAAGGGCGGGTTCGGATCCTCACGAAGCTTGTCTGCTAAAGGCACGTGGCAGCCGTAAATCCACAGCATGCCCCCGCAGTAGAAAAATGGACTAATATCACAGAACAACAGAGTTTAACGGAACACGGAATGAAATAGCACAACATATGACAGCACAATACAACATGATACAGTGTAATGCATTAACCAGTTAATACAATCTAACATAGTCTAACTCTGTACATCATAAAAATATAGTACAGTATATTATAGTATAGCATTATGCAGCATACTATAATCCAAACACTGTTTAAGATAAGATGAGATATAACATGTGAGGTTTCAATACGACATAGCGCAACATCGTACAACGCCATACAAGAAAAAACGACACAGCACAATACATCACAAGATAATATATCACAATATATGATCTAAGTCTAGTTTCATACAGAATATCAATATATAGTTGACCGAAAAGAGTAGAATATAGTATTTGCTTTCCCGAAGCTGAGACTTCGAGCCTCGAGGCCTTGCTGCTCGCGGGTACAGCCATTGCACGGAACCGCGAGCTTCATGCGGCCATCGCTGAGGTCCAGACTTCAAAGGGACAGGTCCATTGTGACTGGCCAAGGGAAGTGGCAGTCATCAGTCATCGCGTCAGCTTCAACCTGCCGTCGGCTCGGTGCAGGTGCTGATACAGCACGAGACGCTGGACGGAGAGGTGCCTCCGCAGCATCCCATTGGACTTTTGGTCTTTAATCCAACATGTATTGCATCAGTCTTGACATGTGTGGTGAGGGTGTGCGTACAGACTTTCCGCGTTGGTCCCAGGAATTCCAGCGAGTGGTGCGCGAGCACCCGCCCACACCGATCAAGCTGTGATCGTGAGACGACAAAAAAGGGTTGTTATCATACGGGTTCGAGTCACTTATACTGTGCATACTGTACGGTCAATGTTTGCATCCCTCATGTTCTGAAGCTTCAATTTCTCAAGCCAGGCACCCTTTTTGACGGCTGTGCAAGCCCCGTAACTTTCAGCCCAAAGCACAAAGCCCGAAAGCCCAAATTCAACCTGGCATCTCTGACACCAGAAATATCGAAGCGAACAAGAGCGACGCTTCAGAAGTGGTAGAAACCGCCAGAGCAGGTTCCCACACTGACTTTCATGTTGGAAAAAAGCTCAAGCCTCCATCTGGAAGGTCTTCAGTTTTCGGGAGGTAGAGGATCTTGCAATTCAATGCAGTGCCAGCCCTCCTCTGCCGGTATAGGAAAAAATCAGGAGGTGCAAACTTAGATGTTTCGGAGCTGACATGCTAGACTTCGACGACTCCGGATTTCTAAAACATGACCTTCTCGTCGGCGCCATCGCCGAAGGTGCAAGCTGCACAGCTTCGCCGCATGCTTGTCGTTTGTTTCTTGTTGCAATGGGGATCGGCCGTGGCACGTCCCCCTGTGGATGCTGGGTGTGGAGCCGAAACATGTGGCAACGAAAGAGCCAGCTCAGCTTTTTCAAGCGCCGTACCCGCAAGCAGGGACAAGGTCACCGATGTCCAAGAGTGGCTGTGTGGCTTCGGAGAGGACGGTGCAGCGCTTCGTCCTGAACACAATGCTTTGTGACTAGGGGCTTTTGAACTGCTGTAGACATAGAGATTCGTTTGTAGAGGGCTTTGAAAGCAAAGGTGTCTTTGGCATCAGTGCGCTGGCTTGATGTGCAGCAGGTGTTGGAGCACAGCTGCGGCTTCGTCAACAACTCCAAGCCTGTTCGCTTTGCCCTCGTGAGGACGCACAAGACCGGCAGCACCACCGTCGCCACAACTTTGATGCGCTCTGGAATGTCGCTGGGGCTACGCTGGGCAGGCTGCGATGACAACTCACGCTTCGTGCCCCACGAGCGTGCTTGCAAGGCCCGCAACTACTCAAGCGACTCAAACCTGAATGAGGGAAAGTACGATTTTGAGGCGCGGCACACCTATGAATTCGCCACATGGTGGACGTCAAAGCCCTTTTTGGGGCAATGTGACGCTGACGGCAGGCATTTCGAGCGCACTTTGATGGGATATGAGGAGCAGATGGGTTCTGACGTGCAGGTTTTCGTGTTGATTCGGGAAGCTCATTCACACTTGCGGTCTGTACTGGACTTCTTTAAGGTTCCATTCGCCAAGTTCAATGCATCTGAGAGTCTTTGGAACCCTTTGGCAAAAGACCTTCGTCTGCTGGAGGCGGATCACGTTGAAGACTTCCTTGCCCGTTGGCCCTTCAATCGCACAAACCGCCTGCACATCCTCGTGACCGAGGAGTTGTCCGCGTCGATGGTTATCTTTCGCAGAAAAGTGAATTGGTCGTTGCGGGACGTGGTTTTCCTTTCGAGTCGCGTGACCACGAAATATGGCAGAATACCTGATCGTGCTTCCATGCAGCCTGGGCGTTTGGACTGGGATGAGAGGCTGAACGAGGTCTTGCGACCGCTATTCACGACCGAGCTGGAGAGGCAGTCAAAAGACTTCCAACGTGAAGTGGTTGCGCTGAATCGAATCAACTCAGCACTGGCCCTGGTCTGCGCCCAAGCAGAGAGCCAGAGGGGCCTACTGGCAAGGGTGTGCAATGCGAAGGTTGACAGCATGCAAGCTGGAAGGCAGCAGGCTATGCTGTATCGCAAGTCGTATTGTGGATCTGAGTGAGTCCAGAAATCTGGCACGTGACTGAGGCAAACCCCCTAACAACCTGAACTCCCTGTGCATCCATAGCTCCTCAACCCGCCCTAAGGCTGTGAAGAGGGAAGCAAGTCTCATCTCTTTTGATTGCTTATGTGTATGTTCTCTCTGTAGTGGGTGGGGCGCCAAGTTCATGTCGTGAAGGCCAGCAACCCTGAACCTCAACGTCAGGGCAGACTGTCAAGACCCAGAGATATGTCTTGGAGTCTTGGAGTTGAATGAAGTTCCTGTGTGAAGCACTACACGAAACCTTGAGCCCCCGAAGCTCAAGTATGTTTGTTGGTCTCGGTCCCGACTACAACCCAAAAGTGCTGCTGAGTTGGGCTTGCGAAACTTCCATTTGTGAGAGCACGTCTTCGCTTCGACAGACCTGCCGAACTTCTCATTGTGATGATTGTGCTGACGATAGTGGTGATGATGTTGTGATGGTGGTGCTCATGGGTCGATGACACGGTGGCGATGTTGACGACGACGATGATGATGACGACGATGATGATTATAATGCGAAGGATGATGACGCTGATGCGGATGCTGATACTCATGCCCATGGCGACGATGCATAGTAGCATGATGATGCTGCTAGCGGTGTCGGGTTGATATGAGTGTGACGGTGACAATTGCACTGCGGATGCTGTATTCGGGTCTCGAGCTCGGACGCTTCGGGACTTTGGTGGGTTTTGTGATATGCTCTAATTGCGTTCCAGGAGGGTTTATAACTCTCGCCGCGCCTTGCTCTCAGGTTACATGCAAGCCAGGGGTCAGATAAGTCAGACTCTGCAACATGGAAGATCTGCTAGTTCCGCACCAGAACCAGTTGAGCTGCCCAGGGTTCGTCTTGTGGTAGAGACTCGGGGGTGCTTTCCTTTTTCGTGCATAGACGCCCAACATGACTGAGTTCGGCAAACTCGCCAACGTCTCAGTCCTGATGGGTGTTTGCTCCTTCTCTGTCGATACTGTCTGTGCGTGGCTACTGCTGCTGCTGCTACTGCTGGTGCTGCTGCTGCTGCAACACCGACAACGACGACGCACTACTGCTACTTGCTACTACCGCTGCAACCACTGTTACAGCTGCTGCTGCTGCTACTGCTCGCGGATTCTGTCACTGCTCCTGCTAACGCTGCTGCCGCTGCTGCCGCTGCTGCTTTTTCTAGTGCAGCAAGTATTGCAGTACCACTCAGAACATCCAATATGGCTTCTTCACCTAGTTTCGTCGTGCCTACAGCAAGAGCGATGTTCATGTGCCAAAGATCGCTGCGACTGTGAGCATGACAGTGGTTATGACCGAGGCTACTCCTACTGTTCTTGTTCCGATGGGTGTTTTGATAAATATGTCGTTCTTGGGCTAAGGTTCTTCTCATCGGCGACTACCACACGCCGCAGAGGTTTGGCCTTTGGTTGCCGGAGGGGTGGAGGATGTTGAAGTTTTTGGCAGTCAGTCCAACGCGTGTCACCCTCGTAAACGACCCTGGCCTGCACAAAAAGTGCTGTTCCCCCGGCTGGCCGAGGAAGTCGGACGTACCCTCTTGCTTCAAGGAGCTGCTAAACACCGACAAGTGGCTTGGCCAGAAAATGGACGGGGAAGCAAGGCCTTAGCGTGAGCAAAATGGTTTGTCATGGGCAAAGGGTCCTCCTGAGATTTCGGAGGAATCGCACATCTACGTGCAGGATCAATTGTTTTGGGGTTCTCAGACACCCCTGGAAGCCAAGGATCGGTGTGGTGCTGTGTACTGGGAATGCCCGGCTCTCGCCGAGGGAATCAGGAAGCCGAGGCTTCGGGCTGGGTTTCGGTCCTTGGCTTCCGATTCCGTTTGAGTCCGTGCTGTACCTCGCAAAGCACTGCAGGATACTGCAGGCATCGAGGCAGGAAGGTTCCCCTGAGCGGCTTGAAGCTAGACAGCATCTCCATCCCTCCAGTTCTCAGCAGCTTGATGCCATTAGAACTTCTTTAAGTCTTGGGCGGCCGAGGTTGGTTCCCAGTCCGTCGCCGAACAGCTGCGCATGATTGCCGGCGAGGACCCGCCGTTCACAGCACGGAGTCTGCAACAAAGCCGCGTGTTTGCATGCCGAGTGGTGCGCGGTGATGAAACGACTTTTTCGATGCTGTGAGCCAGCGTTCGAAGAGAGATTTTGATTAAGAGCCCGCTGTTCCATGCGACTGGCGCCAGAGGACTGCCATATCGTGTGCGGCGATGCAGACCACGACTTCAACTTCCCTGAGACCTGCGCCGCTCAGCGGGCTAATTGGGATGAGGGTAGGGCCCGTCACACTGCAAACTTGGTGAAAGAGGACCACGGGGACGCCTCAAAGCCTCCGCTCATGAGCTCCGGACAGCCACTACAGGAAAGTAGGGTCTCCTTCGAAGCAAAATTCAACTTCTTTTTTCAAGCTCAAGCTGCTTCAGAGAGTGCCCAGCGAGAAAGGAAGAGTTTCGGCAGGTGACCTCCGTTGGTGAGTTCAAGGTGGGTGTTGTTCATGGGCATCAAGTGGTGCCCTGGGGTGCGGGCCTCAGCGCCTGAGTTCATGATATCGAGAAGGGTCCTGAGCGGAGCTGAGGTGACAACAACTCTTTGGTGAAGTTCGCCGGCCGGCTGGGTGTGGATATCCTCGTCACCGGGCACACGCACAGGACCCTCTGCGTGAGAGACGGGTCCCGTCTGCCTATAGGGTAAGCTGTTCGGCCTTAAACTCTCCACACATCGATCCCAAAACCACGAAGCGCTTCGCCCGGATGCTCGGTGTGGCGGCTGCTTCTCGCTGCGCGATAAAATAATGAACCGTTTCCGTCAGGAGCAGCATCACGGAGCTCGGTGGCAAGTTCATCATCAACCCGGGCTCGGTAACGGGAGCATGCTTGGAGCCCAGTTGACCACATGGTTCCGAGCTCGTTGGGAGCTTTGCACGCTAAGCCCTAAACAGCCAAGAAGATTGCCACAGCCCAAAGCCGCTCGCCTGTTATACTTTTATTCTCAGGCAATGCCTTGGCGGAGTTCGATGTGACGTGAAGCCCTCGGAAAAGTTTCAAGGTCTGTCGGGGCTGGCAGGGGAGTTGCAGCCACGGCTGCGGGTTCAACGACTGTGCGCAAGCCTTCCAGCCCTGACAGCTGTAACTTATTGCAGAATGTCGCGGCCCCGATTCTCAACAGCCCGAAACTAGGATGCTTGCAAAACCCCCATTCAGGGCTACGTTGCCCAGGCCCTCCTTCATGCTTATGGCCGTCCAGGAGAAGTCTGCCCAGTTCTCAGCTCATGGTTTGGAGGAGGTAGGATCAGGATTGCGTGGATCGTATTTGGGGACCTGTCCAGGCCGATGGGAACTCCCTTGCTGGAACTGCATACCCACAGCTGCAACTGCCGAGAGTTTGGGTGATGCAGTGCTTTGGATCACGCATCCCCCAAATTCCTTGTCTCACACAAGTTGAGCCATGATGGCGATGTCCTTACATGCCCAGGAATCTCACTCCAGACGCAGGATGCAATGGGACCAGGATGTAAGGCTAAAGAGTTGCAGGCTTAAGCTCCCCATACTCAAAATCAATGCCTCGTCCCTCTGCTTTGAACCCCTTAAGCCTTTACTTTATCCCCTCCTGTGGAGGTCGTCCTCTACACCTACGAGCTCAAGGAAGGCCAGACTGAGCCGGAAGTGAAGATGAACGAATTGAAGCGGTGAGGAGCCCCTGCCTTCCCCCCCCCCCCCAAAGCCCAAGCACAAGACGAAGTTCAGAAGCAAGCCTCGAGTTCAGAAAATCGTAGCGGCAAGTGTCTACGTCCGAATTGGTGGTGGGATTGCCAGACTCAGCTCGAGCAGAAAGCCTCTGATACCCTTCTCTCCCCCGCAGAGCCTTTACAGGGCTCCAAGCTGGAAATGTCCTCAACCTTCTTAGACCTGAGCAAACCATGCACCCCTCCGGTCCAGCATTATGAATTCTAAATCCTCATTGTACCGAGGCACATGATAGACTGCACGGCGAGCTACTGTAGATTCAGCAGACTCTCGACTCTGAAGCTCCGACGAGGTGCCACATCCACAAGCCTAAACCCGAAGCCATCCTTGAACCGCATCCGGCACCTCGCGTGCCGCATCGATTCCGGTCAGTCTGGAAACCGGGGGCCGCGGAGCTCCAATCGCAGCGGAGAAAAAGCTGGGGCGATGTGGTGTTGTCTCTTGATGGTGCTCGAGCCCTGAACCACCAAAAGCCCGAACCAAAAGGCTTGAGGTTCAGGCCCGTTCTGTGCAGGACGATGTTCGGTGTTCGGAGTTTTTTTCGGTGGGGTGGAGCAGCACGAAAGATGGGCAGTGCAAGTCCCTGTGACCTTCCTTGGCAGCCCCTTGTTTTCTACGTGACGGGTGGATCAACCTCGTTTGCCGCACTATCTGTGCGGAAAATGCTTGAAATGCATGGCAGGACCGATGCTTTCGCATGTCAGCATGCTTTAACATGGCTCCCCGTTATGATGATATGTGCAGCAGCTATCGCAAAAAATATGTTTCTGCTTGGACAGAGTTGCTGAATGTAATTAACACTGAACTGTAACTGCAGCATCAGTTGGAGGATTCAACGGCATGGATGTTATCATGGTTTGGGCATGGATGCACTGGCCATTGGATGGGTTGGTAGCATGGACCAGTCATAGAACAGCAGGATCCTTTTGGAAGCCAAAACCCGGAATCTGCGGAAAAGCCAATGCCTGCAGCTTGAAAATACCCATGGTCAGTAAATCTGGTGAATCCGAGGCCTCAAAGGCCCAGCGGACCCCTTGTCCTCCTATCTGGAGCCCGACTCGATTGGGCCTTCGCGCCGAAGCGAAGCGTGCAGTGGCTCGTGCCGACGCCGACGGCCTCCGCTTCCGGGCCCTAGGACCAGCACTGGCGAAGTCCTCGGACTTTGATGAGTTTGCAGCGGCTCTGTTGGGCGCCTCTGTGCTGAAGTAGTCCAGAGACAGCGGGTACTAATCAGCCGAAGCTCCCAGTCCAGGCCATCGCGCGATGGCCGCCATCTCCTCCTACGAGCAGAGCCAGGTCCGGCGCTGCCCTCGCTGCTTCTTTTTCGGTTTGCTTACTCGTAGAAGTTTGCAGGGCTCGCGGCCCAGGGTTCCTGACGATCTATGAGGTACACTTGCAGGCAGCCCGTTTGGGGCTTGGGATGCTGGTTGGCAGAGGTTCTCCATCCAAGCCCTACGCCCTCAAGACTAACATGCCAGGAAAGTTCGGCATCGTTCCCACAAAGAGCGAACCACATTCATCATTCTGTGAGATACATCCTCATGGGACTTGAGCCTGCTTAAGCCCCAAACCGCAAAGACGTTGGAAAACGGCACTCACAAGCAAAGGACAACATGCCGAAACAATAATCTTTTGGGGTTTTTGGAGTTTTTTTGCCAGGCCCTAGCGCTGGTGGAGGCGGGGCCCAGCGTTGAATCGGTGAACTCTAAAGTACGCAAGTCGGATTATCGGATCTCAGTGGAGCAAGAGTTGACGGCTTTCAAGCTTGAGTGCCATGATTTCGTGGTTGCTGTTGAGCCGCAGATGTGCATGTAGAAATTCATTTGTTCTTTCTGCCGCAGAGACATGCAAGACATGCTGAAGGCCCCGAGAGCCTGCTGGAACAGCAATCTTGGCCATCCTCGACTTAGATCGCTTAGTTAGCGCGCGCAGGATCGCACCTACACCGGAGATGAGGTGAAGGCCGGGAGGGCTTTCGTTGAGTGTTTGTTTCGTGTTCTTGTTGCCTTCGGTCTGCGATCTGCGAAGAGTTTCTGACAGCAGGCTCGACGGCTTCGGGCGTACAAGGACGAGTCCCAGCCCTGGCTGGACCAGTCTGAAGTCTTGGGTGGGTTGGTACTGGATGGGCGGCCACATCCATTTCGAGCAAGGACGACGGCTGCTACGTTTGCGTCTACTGCCACAAATGCTGCTGCTGCTGTTGCAAGCTGACAATGCATCGCAACCTCAAGCCTCAAAGCAGCAGCCCCAGACAGACAGCAGTCCTCATCAATCACTTCTGGGCAACGGCTGAAATCAGGTCAGCAACCTGGCCGCCAACAGCGCCGGAGAACCATGTGACGGAGCAGCGGGCTGCTTAGCCTCGGGTTAAGGGAAGATGATGAGTTCGCCTTGACGTACGAGGTCTCGAAAGGCCGGAATGGTTTGCCAACGCAGGTCAATGCAATGTGTTCAGCTTCACAGCGATCGCTGAGGAGGCGCCAGGCCAGACTCTTGCGTGACCGATTCAACCCAGACTTCTTCCACTTGCGCAGGGGCCCCAGCGTTACAGAATCTTCAGGGTGTTCAGAGTCTAGGGTACGAGATGGAGAACAAGCTCGTTGTTTGTTCCAGCCGAAGACTCTGCATTCGCCCTTCCATGAAACCCTGAAGCTCCACGCCCGTGAGTCCCGTGTCTGGCTCTCTGTCAAGCAGAAGAATCTGCACCAACGCGAAACCCTTGAACCCTCCAGCCTCAGCCAGCTGATGGCTCAGGCCCCTCCCTTCCGGGTGGCCCTGAGGCATTGAAGAAGTAGAGGTCCTAACAGAGGATCCTCGAGCTTTGAGCAAGGAGTTCCCAGCCCTCACAGCCCACGCCCTCATTGCCCACACCCTAAACCCGAAGCCTTCAGCCCCATCCGCCTCCTTGCTGAGAGCCTGCGTGCAAGCTCCCTTCTTCCCGGATATGCCGAGGGCTGCCGCATGCACCTCAAGAAGGAAATAGAAGGAAGGAGTTGAGGGCTTTGATTCCATGTCCGCCTTCAACACTTTAGGAGCCTACAGGGTTCACCTTACAAAGGAAGTCCAGAGCGGCGCCGCTCCCCGAAATTCGGACAAGTAGCAAGGCTAAGGCTGCCCCGCCTCCGAGCCTGAAAGGGCCTCCGAGGGCCGAGCAACCCGAACTACCGGGAAAGCTGAGCCCAGGGCCCAGCGTTCCAGATCGCGCTCCGACGGCCCGAAGAATGCTGGGAAAAAGGCTGCGATGCGTCCCCATCCCGAGATCTGAAAATCGATTGGAAGCCCCTCCAAGGGCGCTGATCAGTCTTCGTAGGTGGCCAGTGAAGACAATCGAAGCAAACAGCAAAATCTCAGCTGACGCAGCCTGTTGTGGGTTTTCCAGCTTGCTCAGCTTGTTGCGGGTGGGCAAATCTCACTTGGCTCAGCCGGATGTGGGCAAACATCAGCATACAACGCACGAAGGACCAGCCCTCTTCATTCTTGCGGTTTGCTGAGACAGCCTCTTTGGTCTTGCCGTCCAAGATACCGCAACCAAGATCCCGTCTTTCCTTCCTGAGTCCCTCCCACTTCAAGTCTTTCAACTCTGTGATTCACCCAGACTGTAGCTTGATCATGCGTTTCTGGGATGCATGGCATGCAGCTTCCCACCGCAATCGCCCACAGAGCATGTTGATCACATGAGCCTTCGGGAACGCACGCTGATCAATCTGTCGAGACATCGGTTTTACGGCGGACATGTCGGATAGCAGGGAATGTGCGGGAGTGTAGAGATCGCGGCCGCCAAGCTTCGATGCCGGCTGCTGCGGATGATGAGCTACGGCCTGCTTAGCTAAGGCCGCTTCTGCAGGGAGCTGGGGGGTTACCAGGCAGCAAGACCAAGGCCGCACAAGCCAAAGGCTGCGTGCACCACAGGCTCGAGCTAGGGTTTCCTGCAGTCTGCTTCCAACATGTCGTCAGCAAGCAAAACTGACAATCCGTGGCCGCTGTACTGCTTCAATCCCGCACCGAAGCTGGAGACTCTCCTGCAGATTTGCGCCTACACACTCTCTTGCCGCAACAGGGCAGTCTTGACACGGGCTGATTGTACGGAGTTGCACGGACACTGTAGCATGACATTCTGCGCCAACGTCGACGCCATCGAGGATCTACTTCTGAAACGCATTGGTGATCTTCTCTCGAAAGAGCCGCAAGCAGAGGAATGGGCTGCTGGACAAAAGTGCCGCTACAAGGAGGAGCTCAAAGGCATGTCATGGGAAACAAGAACTCAAGAGCTTGCATGCTTGCTGGGCTATCGCATTCGGTCTTTGATGTTGGAGTTGCCTGGGACAGTTCTGGGGACTGTGTGTGATCACCAGCTGAGATTCAGCCCAGCGCTGCAGCAAGCCAAGCGGGAGCCAAAGAATGCCGAGGATGCCCTCACCAGCTGGCTGAACAAGTTCGCCCCTCTGCGTCACCAGGAAGGTCAGCTTCCCGATCCTGCTGTCTCCCTCAAAGAATTTTCCGACATGTGCGACCCTGAACTGCGACAGATGCTGCCCGAAGGAAGCTTTGTTGCGAGCACTCAGCCGCTCGAGCCAGCAGCCTGCAGGGACGGCACCGCCTCAGCTGGTAAGCGTCCAACATCCCAAGAGATCTCGCCAGCGCGGGAGTTGGCAAAGCGCCAGCAGAGCCGTGAAGCCGAGCTGTCCGAGGAGTTGGCCATGGCCAAGGCCGAGCTTGACGAGCTCCGACTCAGAGAGCAGGACGTGCGCCCAAGGTCAAGGGCAAAGGCAGAGCAAGGGCAGCTTGATGTTTCCGCCAGAGACCTTGGGCGGCGGAGTTTCGTGCTCTGCTCGTCGAGAACGCCACCTACAAGGAGCGATGCGAGCAAATGAAGCTGAGGCTTGACAGAGCCGAGGCGGAGTTGTGCCGCAAGACGGCGGAGAATCAGCGCCTTTTGGTCGAGAGTGCAACTTTCAGGGAGCGCTGCAGGACTGTGGCACACCATCCTCAGAGTTTGCGGGAGGAACGAGGTGGTGCCGCAGCAAGAGCCGCAACTTCTGCGACGATGAGACCACGTGGAATGGAAGCTTCCTCAGACTCAAGCCAAGACTCGGATTCTGCGGAGCGGATGGGCTTCACGGTCGTGGATGATTCTGCCTCATCGGTGTTGAGCCACTCCTCCTGGTTCTCCGTGAAACCACACTGCTTCGGGACAGATGCCATTTTCCGCACTCGAAGCTGTGGCATCGATTTCTTCCTGATGGGGAAGGACTTGGTCAAAGGCTCTCGTGTCCTGGCTGCGGACAATGAGACCATCCTGGAAGTTGCCGCAGCTCCTGAGGTGTTCCAGGAGACCGCTGGCTTTGACCTTCAAGCCGGGAACGCAGCCCTGCGGGTGACTGCGGATCACTTGGTGCTTGTCCCAGACCCACAAGCCGAGTCAGGCAACGGCATCTATGTCAGAGCAGGCAATCTCAAGGAAGGTGACTTTGTCATGCTCGACTCATGGGAGCCTGTGCGCCTCACTGGCATGGATCCTTGGCTCGCGGAGCGCGAAGTGCTGAAGGTGGTTTTCCAGCCGGACCTGCCCGTCGCCGTCTTCTCCTGTCCCCCGTGCATTCTCAGCAAAGGCCACAAGAAGCAGCAGACACGCCGTGGAGGCATGCGCCACGTGAAAAGCAGAGGGGCAGGGGCAGGGGCAGCGAACGACCAGGCCGAAGACGGGCAGAACAGCATTCCACAGACACAGGGCGCTTACACGGACTGAGATCGCTGCTCTGCATGCCTCACATGAGCTTGCGACGTGCACATATTTTGACGAGCACCCCTGAATTCAGAAGTTTTGCGCAGCCATGCCCAGATTAAAGTGCACGGCTTGGACGCTGGTGCGCAAAGATCTGTGGCTCAGTGCTGGAAGTATCGGAGTGCAGTGCACGCGGTTACTTGAGACGCGCAGTGCTTGCACGACCGGCCCTTTCAATCTTCCCGGGGCAGCTTGCAAATCTTTCCCTTGCGCAGAAGAACGCAAGTGCTGCTTGAAATGTGCAGTCTGCGAGTAGACTCGGGCTCGTTCAGTCGTTACAGTACTATAGATCCTCAGTCCAACCCATTGCAACCCGGGCTTTCGTCATGAAACTTCCGAACAGTTGGCAGGCGGCCTTCGTCAATCTCCTGCAGTGCCGATCCTATGATGGAGGACTCTCCCGCGGCCCCGTTCTGGATCTTGTCCTTTCATCTTTTCTTCGTGTCGCTTGTTAGGTTAATGTTCAGGCAGCACGTTTTTCTAGCCGTTGTCACTCGTGTGGCGAGGCAGGGGGTCTGAACGTCGGAGTGTTCGAGTTTGCCTGAATTGTATGCCTTCTTTGGCGCTTGACTTGCGAGTGCCTCCTCAGCGCGTGAGCCACGCCCGTAGACCCTGCTGCTTAAAAAGAAATGCAGTCCTTTTTCTTGTGCGGTTTGTTTTAAACGTTTTCCTAAATACAAGGTAGCCAACTGTGATGCGGACTGGGGAACGAAAAGCTTTCCAAAAGGATACGGACACGAGCTTTGGGATTTGAAACCTCAGCACAGAGCATGCTCGTCGCTCTTTGTAGTCAAACCAAGACCTGAACTAACGCGAACATGGCAACAAAGCCCCAAACCCTGGCTTGGGCTGTCTTGGGTAGATCCCAGAAGCCCCGCCTTCGCAATGGATCCACGGGCGTCGCTGGACCTCACCCGCGAGCTGGCTGCAGCCGAGCAACTAAGGCCAGGAGTTTCTGCGAGAGACATTCGAGTAGCACGTGGTCCTGGCTGAGAGTTCCCTGAACAAGAAGGTAGGACTCCAACTCTGACAAGTTGGAAACTTGGACAGGAGCGACCTCCTTGCCTCCACCACATCCCTCCGACAGCGGCTAGCCGTGGCGCGGCGGTCACCCGGAGCCAGCAGAGCTGCGGGCTTGCTGATCTAGTTGCCGGGAATTGTGTTCAGGGCTTTGAAGTTTGTTGGGCACGGAGAGTGATCGAGCACTAGAAGGTCCCAACCGCAGATGCTCCACTTAGTTTGCCCGAAGCCAAGCCTTCCGAGGACACGAAGATGAGCGACAAAACCTGCTAAACCCTAAATCCTCCACACCATGTAGATTTTGAATGCCAAGGGCTGGACATATCAGTCGGAAGCCCCCAAAGAGCAAGGAAGTCGCAGCTCTGGCGAGGTGTGGTGACCAAGCTGTGACACGGCTTGATCAAGTTCTTCCTTGTCATGGGAGTCTTTAGAGATTTGGGGACCCTTATGTATGTGACCTTAAAAAATGAGAGTCCTGAACTTTATGTATGCGACGGCACCAAAGGAACGCAGCTTTCAATAAAACTCCTGTGCTTGGAGTCTTCTTGAGTCGCGCCTCAATTCCTGCTGCGGGGTACATCTGCCACGCATTTGTTTCTCAGGCATCTTACGGCTGGTACTAGGTTCCTAGTCCTACCTAGTGCCTGCTATGTCTCCGACGTTGAGGCAAAGGCTCGGCTTGGGTCCTTTCTCCTTTGCCTCGGACAGCGGAGGTGGCGAGGCAACTGCTAGAGGAGTCTTTTGACTCTGGGTGTGTGGGTTGCGTGTGGTGTTCTTTTGGGGCGTTTTGGGCTTAAGACGGCTCCGCGCGGACCCCAAACCTAAAGGCGGAGGTTTGAATGTTGAAGCCAGGCCTTCAAGAACGCAAGTCTCGCGACAGGTTGCCACGGAGCTCCGCTTGCTGTTGGAGGAGGTGTCAAGCAGGGTCAGTACCGTGAGCCCATAAAGTAGATGGGATGCTTCTCCTGCAATCTTTGCCTGCTTCTGGCCAGGCCTCCATTGCAGATGACCTGCTGCGTGCCGACGGTGAGTCGGTTGCCCTGCGACAACAGGCCGCGGGCTTGGATACCTTTTGCTGTCAAGCTTTCACGCACTTCCAGAGACATGCGCTGCGAAATGTTTGCTGCTGCAAAAACCCGGACCTCTGCCCTAACACCCCCGCCGCATCCCCCCAATTCCCCCCAGCTCGATCCAAAGCCCTGCAATGAGGGGGGCCAGCAGGAGGAGCTCCAGCGCCTCCGTGAGGAGGTAAGGCATCTCGAGGACCAGACGAAAGGGCTTTGCCAGTCAAAGCCAGCAAGGCCGGGCCTCAGCAGAGGGCTTCCTAGAAAGGCCCAAGTAGCAAAGCAAAAGCTCTTCCTTTAACTACACCCAAGAATCTTAACTCCTGGGCTCTCACCGTGAGGAATCTTCCATGAACGCCAGCACGGAGTTGTGCGCCCAAAGCAGGCAAAGCGGGGGGTTTCGTCGTTGAGGCCGCAGGATTTCGGACTGGCAGGTTCGCCAAAGGAATGAAGCAGCTTCCGATTCTGTAGGTCATGCTCCGACGCTTTTGCAGCCCCAAACTCCAGCACGCCTAAAACCCGATCTGCACCACAAGCCGATCGCCACTCATTATCCCAAACCCAAAAGCCTGAAAGATGAGAGAAGGCGCCTGGAGTCGCTGCGTGGTGCCTGGCGCGAGGCCAAGGCCTCTTCCTCCGTGTGGGAGAGCGATGCCTGGCCGAATACCATCGGGTTCCAGTCTGGTAGGGTTTCTCCTGGGCTCATTATTCATTAGCCTGTATTCCGGTCATGAGTTTGCGCTTCGTGGGTGACTGTGAGCTCGGATTCCAGACGTAGTAGGCCCTGTAGGCCTTTCGACATCGTCTTGAGGGTAGGCGTTGCAGCAGGAGGATCCAGAGAAGTTCATTCGGTCTTTCGGGTTCACAACTCTGGGATTCGGAGCTGTGAGCATTCGGGGCTTAGAGGCTGGGCTCGGGCTCCCAGGCACATGGCAGTGCTGCTGGAACCACAGTCAGCCTCATCCGTCCGGTCCCGGGGGCTGAGAAGCCCCAACTTAGAATCTCTCCGTGCTTTCCATCCTCACGCAAGCCAGCTTCGACTGCCCCCAGAACTCAGGAGGCCGCCGTCATGAAGGCGAAGCCCTCGGAGGTTCCCGTTCTAGATCACTTCTGGCTTTTCATGAATGGCTGTGGGGCTCCAAGCTTTGAAGCTCTTGGACAGGTTGACAGGACCGAGAGTCGGAGCGTTTCGCAGCATCCACGTCGGCAGCACTCGGGACATCGAGTCTGGTGTTCACAGCACTCTGAATCCTCTTCAGTCCTGTGCAGGAAGGCCCCAGCCTGGACGAGCTTTGGGTGACCCAGGCCATGCTCGAGGCCGAAGCGATAATAGAGCCTTCTACTTCCACTACCCCGCAGAAGCAGAGTTTGGGATGGATTTACTGTACGCCCCCCCGCCGGAGCTAAGGGAGCTAAGGCACACGTTGATGGACGTAGCAGTGGTTCATGTGCATGCCTTGCAGATGACGGACGAAGAAGGTGCTCCACTTTGTCAGTTTGAGGTCTGTTGTTTTCGGGTTGGGGGGTGCCCGTGTTGGTCGCTGGGCGTTGCGGATGGCTCTCGTGAAATGGTCACAGAACCCAATGACTTTCCGGAAGCCGCAGTCTTGATTCAACCCTTTTGCCAGATCTTTCAGGTGGAGGAAGCCGACCTCATCGCTCTTTGCCAAAGCCGCCAGCAGGCGACGCGTGAGCTTCGAGCCGAGGCGACTTGGGGGCTCGGGGAGCCACATCCTAGTTGCAAAGAGGAGTGGGAGCTGGTAGAGGAGGTAATAGGAATAGCAGTAGCTCAGTAGAAGTGGAATTGGATAGATAGCAGCTGGAGTAGTGGCAGTCGTGTGTTGTGCTTCTTGGTCGTTGTCGTCGTGGTTGCAGTCGCCGTTCCTCGTCGTTCGTCGTTCGTCGTCGTCGTCGCTGTTGTGGTTGTGGTTGCGCTTGCGCTTGTGCTTCTTCTTCTTCTTGGTGGTCCCCGTGCCGCTGCTTTGCCCCGTTGTTATTCATGGAGTTTTTTGCGATACACTGATACGGTTCTGATACAGTGTACGCCACGTGTGCTCTGTCCTTGTCTTGTTGCGGGCTTGCTTTTCTACGAGTCTTGTCATTTTGTTTCTTGGTCTTCTCAGCCTTCTTGTTGGTGTCGATGCTGTTGCAAGTATTCCGATGGTTGTTTGTGAGACCGTAAGAAGTCTCTGCCTTCAACTTGCACCCGCTTGAAGAATCCCCAGACATGGATGTCATGTTCTTGTTGCTGGCCACACTGTTTTTCGCGCTCCTTCGCCACTTACGGATGAGGCTGCTGCTTTGGAGGCATGCGGCCGGGACCTCGAGAGCCGCAGCGAGGCGGAAGGAGAAGGGACGATTGACGAAACAACACCACCGCCACTGACGCTGCCAATACCAAAGAAGTAATAATCAGCAACGAAAGTGCACGGCAAAGAGCATGCAGCATGCAACTTAGCACAAACACGACTCACAGCACATTCGCCACCAGAAGCACTACTACCAGACACAGCAATATTTCACTACCCTCAGCCTTAGCAAAAGTAATAGCAATGCCCAACGCAGTAGCAGAATAGCAACAGCAATAGCAATTGAAGTTGCAGGAGCAGTAGCAACAACAACAGCATCAGCTGTGTGAAATAGGAAACACACACGCAATAGCAACAGCACTACACGAGCACTAGCAAAACAGCAATATAACTAGCAGTGGCATCAGCAGCAGCCGCCGCAGCAGCAACAACAGCAGCAGCAACCTCACAGAAACGACAGCGTCAGAGTCAGCAGCAGCGGCAAACGCACTCGCAACAACAACAAGAACAAGGTACAAACAAAAACTGCAGCCCCGTCAACCCATATATCTGCTTTTTGTCTGTACATTAGGTAGAGACAAAAACAGGAGCCCCGTCATGTTGTTTTACCCCCCCCTCCAACAGCAACAACAACAACAACAACAAAAACAACAACAACAACAACAACAACAACAACAACAACAACAACAACAACAACAACAACAACAACAACAACAACAACAACAACAACAACAACACCAACACAGTGCCTGCGGATGCCTGTGATGTATACGATGTATACTGTTTGGTGTGTATTTTCAATGGATTTCGTCCGTATTTCAGTGGATTTCGTGTGTATTTCAGTGGATTTGGTGTGTATTTCAGTGGAGTTGGTGTGTATCTCAATGGATTTCGTGTGTATTTCAGTGGATTTCGTGTGCATTTCTGTGGATTTGATGTGTATTTCAGTGGAGTTGGTGTGTATCTCAATGGATTTGGTGTGTATTTGGTGTGTATTTCAGTGCATTTGGTGTGTATTTCAATGATTTTGGTGTGTATTTTCAATGGATTTGGTGTGTATTTCAGTTCCCCGCTGTGCAGATTATGCATTTGCGAGGCCTGTACACACTACTGTATAGTAACCGGTAACTATAGTTTTGTGTGTACGGGTGTCCAATGCAAACCCCTCAAAATTCCAGACAAGCCCTTCCAACACCCATCAGAACCCTTTCTGGATATCGCAGATTCCTATACCTGTGGTGGAAATGTGGTGTAATGTGGGCGGTTGTTGTAAAGGGGGGGGTCAAAACAACAGACGGGGCTCCAGTTTTTTGCTCTACTGCAGGGGGTAGAGACAAAGTCCTGATTTCGCTGGTGACCGCTGGTGCCTTTGTCTCTACCCCCTGTAGTAGAGGCAAAAACTGGAGCCCCGTCTGTTGTTTTTGACCCCCCCTTTTACAACAACCACCCAGCCTACACCGCATTTCTACCATGGGGCAGTTGCTGTGTAAACCATGGCTTGCACTTCCCAAAACTCTACAGGCACCCTATGCGTCGCCGGAAGCATTCCCAATTGCTTCTAATTAACAACAAGTACGGGCTGCTGTTTTTGTCTGTACCAACAACAACAACTGCCGTAACCACAACAACCACCACAATCACAACCAAGACTCTTTTGGATTGGGTTTCGGGTGAGCTTCCTGGAGGCCAACGTGGAAGAAGCGGATCAGCTCTGTGAGATGGAGCTACTCAGCCGGAGGGATACATCTCAACCGCAAGCCACGGAAACCCAGATGCAGCCTGCGAGGCAAATTATCTGTGCCAACCTGTCTGGGTTCAGGCTTCAAGGTTGGCTTGGGGGGTTTATGGGTGCCATGAAAGTGGGTGCCATACTCCCTAACCAAAGGATGCCTCCGTGAAGCAGGCCTCAGCGAGCATCGTCTGGCAAGGTTTGGGGTTGCTGCAATGTTTTCTCCTTTCTTCGCAGTGCGATGGATCATCCAGAGGCTCAACATTAGTTTGTGTGTCAGTTTCGAAGGCAGGGGAAGGCGGATTGGTGTCCTCCGTTTGATTCTCTTCTTGTGTTGATTTTGGTGGCCAGCCTTTCGAATCACAGGCGTCATTGCTGTTGTCGATCACCTTGAGGCTGGCTCAGCAATGCAGCATTCAGCGCCTCCGGGATGAAATCCACGAAGTGAGACGCTTGATCTAGTTTTTGAAATCTAGGGTGGAAGTCAGGACGGAAGAGTCCAATAGTGAAGTAGGATTTCGGATACTTGAGTGCAGCTAAATCAGGGATAATCGGCTGAGTGTCCGACTATTCAGAGGAGAGCTAGAGGCCAGTCACACGGATAAAAAGAAGCAAGTGACACCGGACAACGCAAGTGGACCCGGACCCCAAGAGAGCACGGGCCTTTGGCGGGAGCATGATTTCCACACTGCCAAGCCGTCACCCGAACATGCAAACCTCAGAGTGCCGCCACGCTATTGCAGGCAGGTACTATGTGAATACGATGTTCATTAAATACAGGGATTCATGAGAGTACCCAGAACGATAGGAAGACCAACAAGAGTACAGGATCATAACACGATAAGCACGACCATCATGGCATGGTTGGTTGGGTTTCGAAGCTTAGAGTCGAGTGTCGAGCGGCCGCCAGAGCTCTGGGCATAAAACGAGATTCTGAACAGGACAGATCCTCGTTATCGCTGGCCCATCTTTGCTATCCTAAAGACGAACTTGCCATCCTCGAGTTGGGCTCCCAGACTTTCTTTAATTCGAAACAAAACCCCCTCCAATCCTGATGCACCAGCAGAATTAGTCAAGCAGATCAAGCAGCAGCCGTAGAAGGTGGAGCAGTAGGTCTTTCCCAGGCCCCGTGCCCTCGGAAGCCCAGGAGTTCTGGGCGCCAAAGCTGCGCATCTGGTCGGCTATCGCAGTCAAAACCTGCAAAGGAATTTCCTGCAACGGTGCTGGGTCTTTTTTTGTCTCTCTCGCTCTCTCTCCCTCTCTCTCCGTCTCTCCCTCTCTCCGTCTCTCCGTCTCTCCCTCTCTCCGTCTGTCTCTCCGTCTGTCTGTCTCGCTCTCTCTCTCTTCCGCTCTCTCTCTCTCTCTCTCTCTCTCCCTCTCTCTCTCTCTCTCACTCTCTCGCTCGTGCTCTCTCTCGAAGACATGCAAGCTACAACTAGATGTTTTCTTACATACGATGCACCTGGACCCATAACATGTTGGCAGGGAGAAGATCTGCCGGTCGCAAGCGTTTGCAAGTGATACCCGCCCGTCATGCCGCACACGTGAACAGAGCGAGTTGTGCATTTCACGACTGCTGACGGTGAACTCAATCAGTAGGACAGTCTTTCTTGAAACGAGACACTTTGTGATGTACATTCCGCAGCACCAGCAGTACAAGATATGAGCATATCCCTAATCGCCCGGATCTACAACAAACCATTGCAGTCGCCGCAGCTGCAATACGCTGGGCAAGCTCATGTTGTACAAGCCGAGGGGTTTGGTCGTTCAGGGTGTTCGTGCAAATGTGGAACAAGCCGCTGAAGCCATCGTCAGCATCGTAGCCCCAGCCCAAAGCCCGGGACGCGGGAGAGATGAAAGCAGGATCCCGACGAGCATGCCACGCTGGTGAAGAAAGTGAAGCAGGTCCGGTCCTTTGAGGGTGGTAGGTCCGTCCCACGGAACTGGGTAAAGCCCAATTGGGAAAGCCTCCAGCTGCCGCAACCCAGCAGGCACTCTTCAGGTTTTGACAGCGTTTTGTACCGGTTTACGATTGGGCAGCTCCACACCCTCAAGGCATAATTGCACGAAAAAACAGGGAGACGCTTTGCTGAGTTTATCACAACACGTCAAAAAATGGATGTACCAGATTGGGCTCAGCCTTTGCGTTTTCATCCCTGGCTGCGGCTTGCTTTCGGGCTCACGAGCTCAGGGGATTTTGGCGCATTGTCGGCTATTCTACTCAAGAAGGTTGTATGTGCAACACTGGGTGGAAGGCTATGTTGCTTCGGCTTGTCCTTAAGATCTTGAAAGTTGCCCCCACATAGATCTGCAATCTCTCGCCAAACCTCCGTCTCGCCATGTCGAGACGCTTTGAGGGTCTCATTTCCGTATGTCAAGAGGTCCAGCGTGAAAGTGAAGAAGGCAAGCAGCCGGGACCTGAGCAACAACCTCAGGTGTAGTTTTTGTGTGAAGGTGGGTGGCCGTTTCGTGCACCGATTTGAAGCGCTTGCTTGCCGTGAATGTGTCCACCCGACTTGTGGATCAAGCTAGCGCAGGACAGTTTGTCCCAAGATTGCAAACACCTTTCCAATCAATTCAAAGCTTGCTTTAGCCATGCAAATCTTCGTCAAGACGCTCACTGGCAAGACCATCACCCTGGACGTCGAGGCAGTACTGAAAAGACGTTGACAACGGATCACAAAGAGTTTATGTCCGAATTACGGTTAAGCTAGTTTGTTTCCACCGTTTGTTTGACCCGTCCCGTCGAGGCATCCGACACTATCGACAATGTAAAAGCCAAGATCCAGGACAAGGTACCTGGTTTCCTTTCTTATCATGTTCCTTTTGTTGTTCCGGTCCACATCGAAAGGTAGGTTGTTTTACATGCATTGTGTTAAGCTGCTTGCATAAGTTTTAGTGGTGCTTCAAGTTCCGCGCCTGTGAAACCAAGGAGGGCATCCCGCCTGACCAGCAGCGCCTCATCTTCGCTGGCAAGCAGCTGGAAGACGGGCGTACGTTGTCCGATTACAATATCCAGAAGGAATCGAGATGCCGATCTGGGATGGTTTTAAGTTTCCCTTATTGATTGAATGTGTAGGACACTAAGTCTGACGAGCGGTTGTGGGTTCCTGTTGAAAATCGATACCTAGGAGAGCACCTTGCACTTGGTGCTCCGCCTGCGTGGTGGCATGCAGATCTTCGTCAAGACGCTGACTGGCAAGACCATCACCCTGGACGTCGAGGCCGTAGTGAAAAGACGTTGACAACGGATCACAAAGAGTTTATGTCCGGATTAAGGTTAAGCTAGTTTGTTTCGTCCGTTTGTTTGACCCGTCCCGTCGAGGCATCCGACACTATCGACAATGTAAAAGCCAAGATCCAGGACAAGGTGCCTGGTTTCCTTTCTTATCATGTTCCTTTCATTGTTCCGGTCCACATCGTAGGGTAGGGTTGTTTTACATGCATTGTGTTAAGTTGCTTGCATAAGTTTTAGTGGTGCTTAAAGTTCCGCGCCTGTGAAACCAAGGAGGGCATCCCGCCTGACCAGCAGCGCCTCATCTTCGCTGGCAAGCAGCTGGAAGACGGGCGTACGTTGTCCGATTACAATATCCAGAAGGAATCGAGATGCCGATCTGGGATGGTTTTAAGTTTCCCTTATTGATTGAATGTGTAGGACACTACGTCTGACGAGCGGTTGTGGGCTCCTGTTGAAAATCGATACCTAGGAGAGCACCTTACACTTGGTGCTCCGCCTGCGTGGTGGCATGCAGATCTTCGTCAAGACGCTGACTGGCAAGACCATCACCCTGGACGTCGAGGCCGTAGTGAAAAGACGTTGACAACGGATCACAAAGAGTTTATGTCCGGATTAAGGTTAAGCTAGTTTGTTTCGTCCGTTTGTTTGACCCGTCCCGTCGAGGCATCCGACACTATCGACAATGTAAAAGCCAAGATCCAGGACAAGGTGCCTGGTTTCCTTTCTTATCATGTTCCTTTCATTGTTCCGGTCATGCATTGTGTTAAGTTGCTTGCACAAGTTTTAGTGGTGCTTAAAGTTCCGCGCCTGTGAAACCAAGGAGGGCATCCCGCCTGACCAGCAGCGCCTCATCTTCGCTGGCAAGCAGCTGGAAGACGGGCGTACGTTGTCCGATTACAATATCCAGAAGGAATCGAGATGCCGATCTGGGATGGTTTTAAGTTTCCCTTATTGATTGAATGTGTAGGACACTAAGTCTGACGAGCGGTTGTGGGTTCCTGTTGAAAATCGATACCTAGGAGAGCACCTTGCACTTGGTGCTCCGCCTGCGTGGTGGCATGCAGATCTTCGTCAAGACGCTGACTGGCAAGACCATCACCCTGGACGTCGAGGCCGAAGGGAAAAGACGTTGACAACGGATCACAAAGAGTTTATGTCCGGATTAAGGTTAAGCTAGTTTGTTTCGTCCGTTTGTTTGACCCGTCCCGTCGAGGCATCCGACACTATCGACAATGTAAAAGCCAAGATCCAGGACAAGGTGCCTGGTTTCCTTTCTTATCATGTTCCTTTCATTGTTCCGGTCATGCATTGTGTTAAGTTGCTTGCACAAGTTTTAGTGGTGCTTAAAGTTCCGCGCCTGTGAAACCAAGGAGGGCATCCCGCCTGACCAGCAGCGCCTCATCTTCGCTGGCAAGCAGCTGGAAGACGGGCGTACGTTGTCCGATTACAATATCCAGAAGGAATCGAGATGCCGATCTGGGATGGTTTTAAGTTTCCCTTATTGATTGAATGTGTAGGACACTAAGTCTGACGAGCGGTTGTGGGTTCCTGTTGAAAATCGATACCTAGGAGAGCACCTTGCACTTGGTGCTCCGCCTGCGTGGTGGCATGCAGATCTTCGTCAAGACGCTGACTGGCAAGACCATCACCCTGGACGTCGAGGCCGTAGTGAAAAGACGTTGACAACGGATCACAAAGAGTTTATGTCCGAATTAAGGTTAAGCTAGTTTGTTTCGTCCGTTTGTTTGACCCGTCCCGTCGAGGCATCCGACACTATCGACAATGTAAAAGCCAAGATCCAGGACAAGGTGCCTGGTTTCCTTTCTTATCATGTTCCTTTCATTGTTCCGGTCCACATCGTAGGGTAGGGTTGTTTTACATGCATTGTGTTAAGTTGCTTGCATAAGTTTTAGTGGTGCTTAAAGTTCCGCGCCTGTGAAACCAAGGAGGGCATCCCGCCTGACCAGCAGCGCCTCATCTTCGCTGGCAAGCAGCTGGAAGACGGGCGTACGTTGTCCGATTACAATATCCAGAAGGAATCGAGATGCCGATCTGGGATGGTTTTAAGTTTCCCTTATTGATTGAATGTGTAGGACACTACGTCTGACGAGCGGTTGTGGGTTCCTGTTGAAAATCGATACCTAGGAGAGCACCTTGCACTTGGTGCTCCGCCTGCGTGGTGGCATGCAGATCTTCGTCAAGACGCTGACTGGCAAGACCATCACCCTGGACGTCGAGGCCGTAGTGAAAAGACGTTGACAACGGATCACAAAGAGTTTATGTCCGGATTAAGGTTAAGCTAGTTTGTTTCCACCGTTTGTTTGACCCGTCCCGTCGAGGCATCCGACACTATCGACAATGTAAAAGCCAAGATCCAAGACAAAGTGCCTGGTTTCCTTTCTTATCATGTTCCTTTCTTTGTTCCGGTCACATCGAAAGGTAGGGTCGTTTTGCATGCATTGTCTTAGGTTGAACCCCTAAGCCTGAAACCTGGACCATACTTCTCAGCACATCAACATCAATATTTTAATCCTTGAAACTCTTACTTGGGCTGTTCACATTAATTCACTTACGCAACATAATGACGAATAAGGTAGCAACAGATGGGATAGCACAAAACAGAACGAACTATCATATCAACCGGTATCATCAGATGACATAGCATACGACAAGGCTACGCATGACATAAGAAGCATAATATCGTGTACCATGGCACATCTCTGATGCTATGACCATGGCCTTTGCTTGGGTCGTCACACTCTTTTTATGAGCACGCCCACCTGTATCAGCAATCTAAGCTCGGATACTTTCTGACCTGTGTTTTGATCGCCTCCCGTTGTCCATCTCGTTCGAGATGGAGGGCTGCACGGGCTTCCCTGCGCAGTGGTCTGCTGCTGAGCGGCGGCTCAACTCTGGATTCCGTACGGCCTTTCGCTTGGGACCGTCGGTTGGTCCTTTTGGGTCGTCGACGAATGCGTTTCGGCAGGAATTAGCCTCCAGCGCGCGCCTCGTTTCGCTGCTGATGAGAGCTTGGGATCGGAGGCATCTTCAAGTACTCCCCCGCCTCGTTTGTCGGCAACTTCTTTGTCGACTGTCTGGTTGTCATCAATTCTGCTGAACAACGACAACGTTCCATGGATGAGTCTGATCGTTTAGATGTGCTGAGCGGCCAAATGATAGCGCACAAACAGACGCTTGGCTTCGTGCTTCCTTGCGGCGAAGCAACAAACAGGTCACGGCTGACAAACTCCTGGGGGTTTTGATTCCCACCGATGGTCTCCGCGACACCACGCTGCAGGACAATTGAGCGCTTGCCACTGAAAAGCTTCGACCGCCCATCATCAAGCGCCCCACCACGCTTGAGGAGAAGGCCAACCTGATCTCCTTGAAAACTGCCGGAGCGCGGTATGGTGTGGAAATCGAGGAACCCTCGCCTGCTGGTGCAAGCAGCTTTGACCAGCAGGAGTTGCAAGGCTGTGTGGCAAGCGAGCTCTTCGTTGCAAGGCCGCTGCCATGTGTCTTGCCTGGTGGGGCCATCGCATCTTCCTCGAAACGGCGATGCCGTTTCAAGCCGTTGACCTTGCGCATCGCCTGTGGCACCGTTCCTCCCAGGTTCGGGATCTCTTTCTTGAAATTTTGGGGTTCAGGGACGTTCATGGTGTTCGGGAGGTCGCTGGCATCCTGAGTCATCTGGCTCGCCAGTGCAAGAAGCTGGGATGGCAATGGAATGCAGCCTTTTGTTTGGAAGCAACACCCGCTTGTGCAAAAGACCCTGCTTGCCATTCATGCTGAGAGAACTTGTTTATGGCAACGGCAAAACTTTCTTGCGCTGGAGGCTCAAGCTGCTGCCCTGCCCGAGGACTTTCTTGCGGACGAGGCTGCTGCAGCTGAACTTCGAGAAGCGAAACCGAGGACCGTTGACGAGCAGGAGCTTCTTCGGCAGCCAAAACTTGCGCTTCCATGTTGCTGCTAGGACCTGCCTTCGGGAGGCACCAGGTGTGTTTTGCAACCTCTCCCGCAAAGAATCGGTGCGGCTAAGAAAGCCTGTGATCGCCACAAAAGCAATGCGGAGCACTGCCCTTGGCTCTACGGATATCACGTGCTCGAGCCACTTTACTGCTTCTGGGCGAGTCTAGAGTGGGTCACGACGGCTCCTGCTGCTGTGGATGATGCTTGTGCTTCCTCATTCGCTGAACTCTGCATTGCTTTCCAGCTGCTCACTGGTGTTGCTCCAGCGTGTGATGCTGATGGTGCCACTCCTACGATGCATCAGCGTATTCATTTTTTCAACGCTGCTTCTAGAAGACTGTCTGCCATCACTGGAGGGCCCATTTGTCCCGGCGAGTGGCTCCCCGCGCCTGATGTTCTACGGTGTCTCCGATTCCAGACTGGCCCCGGCGTCGAACAGCGCTTTGTGCTGCCACAGGCCTCCTGGAAACACTTCTGCATGATATGGGCCCGTGCTCACATAGAGTAGCCTCTTGAGGCAGGAAAGAAACGTGACATGAAATGGCAGCCCAAATTTGATCGTGGCCCTGCGCCCATCTGGAGATCAGGTGCGCCCATCGAATTCACGGCTGCTAACAAGTGGATCAGTGCACGCAATGTCAGTCGTGTTCGTGGTTCAGTCCTTGCTTGCGATGCTGAGCCATCACGTGGCCAAATTAGGGTCTTGCAACCAGCCCCGCCGATCATTGAAAAACGTGTTCGAGGTAAGCAGCCTGATGCTTCAGCCGCGCCGGCCTGTGAGCTGCCTGCGCCGAAAGCCTGTGCAGCCGTTAGACCTGCACGCCTTGTTGACGGAAGCTGATCTTGCACAACAGATTAGCTGTTGAGCGTGGTAAGCACTACATTGTTCGTGGTCATGCTAAGAACTCGGCTGGCCAGCTTCGATGCCGGGATTGCGAGATGACCGGCAGGTGGCATGAGTGGCGATTCTTTTCCAAAATCGCAAAGTGCAAGGGGCATCAGTAGCCTCTTGGTTTGATTGTTGCTTCGGCAGCCTCTTCTGGTTCGATGTGCTTTCGTTGCACGGCCACTTGTAGATTTTACCCTGCCTCCATTGCTATTCCTATGGTCCTTAGCTATGTCTTTACGCGACCGCACTTGGCCCAAGTCCCCCGTGGAAAAAGGTCACAAGGGTTGACTGACCGGTAACTAGACGTGCCAAGCTGGTAGCCTGGGAAACTTCAGGTTATCAGCCGTAGTTAGCTCCGTAATGGACATCGTGCCGTTTGTAACGGCCGCGGGCAACAACGATGACGGTGGTATTGGTGGTAGAACGGAGCAGGAAGCGAACCAGTACTTCTTGCATTTGTTGCAGGAGAATACTCAGGTGAACTTGTTCCTGAATGACCCCCGCATTCAAAGTGCCTTGGAGCTTCGCGCGGAACAACGACATCGATTTGCATTGGACAACGTGTACGCCGAAGCCAACGCATACATTGCACACCTAGAGGCAACAGCGGATGCGAATCATCGTCAACAGCTAGCATTTGTGAGCCAATCCACACACCTGTTGGTGGGACAGCTACACAATGAAGTACGAGTGCTAGAGACAATCGCCCGAGCAGAACGACAATCAGCCAACGAGCTGCAGGCACAGCTGGCACGCGCACAAAGGGAAAGTCATGATGAAAGGTCTATGGCCATGCAGTTTGATGCACATCGGTCCGAGCTGGAAGCAGCAGCGCGCACGCTCACTGCGGAAAACAGACAGCATGAACGCCGTTTCGCGGAATTGCGCTCGAGTATCGAAGAAAACCACAGTGAGATGATTGCCTTCTTAGGGTCTGAGTTTGAGGAAAAGCTTCAATGGGAAGAAAACGAATACTACCATAGGCTAACCTCTGAGGCACAGCAGTACGATAGCTTGGTTGATGACCTGCAGGACAGGAACGCGGAGCTTATAGCTGAGGTCGACTCACTCAGGACTGTCTTGTCGACAGCGGAGAGTAGCCCACCGCAAGGTGGTGCCGTGCCGGTGAAAGTCGATCCCAGTGAGAGCTCCAAACTTCAACCAAGCCCACCGCAAGGTGGTGCCGCAGCGCCGCTTGTTCAGGGTCCTAGCCATTCATGGATTCCGACCCTTCCGAACCCCAGGGAGATTCCCGTGTCGCTTCGGACGGTTTTGGGAAGGACCCAACGGTATGACATTGGAGAGCCTGAGGATACCAAGGCCCACAATGTAGCGGTATCTGCTGCTGAACAGAGTGATAACAAAGAACCGGCAGAATCTACTGAAAACAAAGAACCTAGCGTACTTCTCGCTGAAGCACTCAAGTCGGTTATCCAGAAGCCTGATGATGACAAACCCAAGGCTAAGGAAGCTGAAACGGTGAAGCTACCCGACTTCCCTAACCCGGAGACTTATAGGAGCTGGAAGATCACAGTTAGGGAGGCCGTTCGGGCAGCATCGGATAGACCCGATGAGGCATTCAAATGGGTTCAAGAGGTTTACTCCAGGGACGCCGATGCGGAGAAGTTGAGGGACACGGGTAAATTCCTCACTTTGGACACGAAGATCCTTTCGGCGCTCTCGAGGGTTGCTAGGGGTGATCTTGGACGACAGATCATTAACTACAAGGAGTCTGAGGCAGCTGCTGGTAGGGCCGTTCGTGGTAGACAGGTTCTACTGATGTTCGAACACTACTTTAAGACCAACGAAGAAGCAGGCTCCCTCTACTCTGTAGAAGATCTACTCAAGGTGCAGTTGAATGGTGATGACCTTAGCACTTTCATTCACAACTGGGAGTCGGTCATCGCAGGGTTGAATCACCAACCCGAGGAGACTACGCTGAGAGATATT